CACTACTTCTATTCCTAGTTCCTCTAGGGGTAGAAGTAGTATTAGTACGTTGCCTTTTATTAGTAATAGTATCCTAATATTATTAAGCGACTTATATAAGCTCTTCCTATTAGTAGGTATAAATAGGTATCGAATAGAGGTTAATTTAGTCTCGAAGTTATAGCTCTAGCTTAGCGAAAAACGTAAGAGTACGCGCTTTTTTTAATAGGCGTTCGAAACACCTCTTTAAGGAGTTAAGGTATAAGCTAAACTCTAGGGGGGACTAGCCTTTTTATTAGCGAGCCTCCTTTAATTACGTCACTAATAATATCTCCTTATTTATAGTATCCTTAATTAGGATAAGTATCTATTCCTTAAAGTATACCTAATCTATACTATATTTAGTTTAGTTAATCGGCGTTTATTCTTTAAGGTATCGGCGCTATCTCGCTTTATAGTCGCTATATATATAATCTACCGCGTAGAGGATCTTTATTTTATTACGATAAAAGCGTCTAAGCGCTACCTTAAAGGCGTCCTCTAGATCGTAAGTTTAGTTTAGACGTTTCCGTATATTAATAGGTTAAGATAATTAAGCGATGTTTTTAATCTTAACCTCGCTACCGCGACTACCGTCCGATTTAAGGGAGTAAGACCGTCGACGCTTCCCTAAACGGATAGCGATAGTACTAGCGCGTTTAGTAATTTCCTCCTTTAATTATATAACGCGATCTTATAAGCGTTTTATCTCCTCTAGCTCCTTAATATACGCTTATAAGGCCGTAAGCTTTTCTTTATAAGTCGACGGTCTTACGCCTATAGGTAGCGATATCTTTAATATAGTTAGAATATCGTCTATAATAGGGGTCTATTTTAAGGATATATCTTTTAGTTCTTTATCTCCTAAGTAGATACCTAATATATATAACGAAGAGGCCTTAACTAGTTAACTACTATATCGCGCTATAAGAGCGTTATATAGTCTTCTCTAAGTAGCTATCTCTACTAGGTAATTAAAAGGGGAAGCTTTAGAAATTATAAGGGAATATATATTATAGTACGATTAGTTAGGTAGTAGAGATAGCTAGAGGTACTACGCTATATATATTAGGTTCTCCTCGTCGTAAGACTAAAGCTTATAGGAAGAGGGATTTTTCCTTTTTAGTCGGAGTAGTAAGAGGTCTATAATATATAAGCGGGGTAGGTATAATTCCCTACCGATACCCTACTAATATATTAGTACTACGTACCTAAGTACTTTATTAGCCTATACCTCCTAATAGCGCTCTTATATCCTCCTTATTATCTAAGGCAAGGAGCGGTTCTATCTTCGCTACTCGAACCGCTATAGGCCGCTTAGCTAAAAGGAAGGGGCATTTTAATATAAAGTATATAGATGCTCCGTAACGTAGGCAGCGGCCGTTAGCCTTCCTCTTCCCGATTTCCTCGCTTATTACTTACTTCGCCCGCTACTTAGAGTACGGGGCGGTATAAGGGGTAGTCGATAGCGTCTTCTTACCGCGTCTAGCCCGGTCCGTGCGGGTAGCCGATATTAAGGTATCCCTGTCTATATCGATAGCTAGTTATTTATCTTATAAAGGGGCGGTAATCCCGTCGCCGCTATATAGCGTGCGCTTATAAAGCTTTTAGAAACGCGGCGTCTATTTATAGCCCTAAGCTACCTTTATTAACCGGCTTATATACTCGCCGTAGTTAGTAAGTATAATTATAGGGATAAGTAGCTCCTATAGGGCCGGCGTAATTAAATTCTATAGCTATATAAGCTTCGCGCTATCTTCTTATACTATAGTCCCCGCTACCTATAAGAGCGTCTCTTCGAAATCGGGAAGGAATTCGCTAAAGGTTTATCTATCTCTCTACTTAAGGGTCCGTAGCCTATCTTACGCCTTCTCCTACTCCTATACGTTGCCGAACGTATATATAAGGTATTAGAAGAAGTCTTATAGGTCGCGTCTGCCCCTAGGGCCGCCCTTATCTTAGAATCTAGAGATCCGCTATATCTAGGGCTCCGGCAGCGTATAGAGGAGCGAATACTACGCTATATCGCGATGGCTATTTAGGCCCTATTTCTCGTTAGTTATAAACTTCGTCTATAGCCGGCTAAGGAAGAAGTAGAAGGACTCCGGCTTACTATCCTAAGTCGGCTAAGGGAGCGGCTTCCGCGTCGGTAGTATCGCCGCCGTAACCGGCGTTACGGAGGCCGTAGGGGTTAGAGCTAGTCTCGTAGACGGCTCCCTTAGTGCAGCGAGAACCTCGTCCTTCTCGCTAGCCGTCGCGCTTCTAATCGCTTCTAGGATAGCTACGATACTTCCTATCCGTCTATAGAGGGGCGGAGTGCTTCCTTAAAGGGGAGGCGCCCTCTCCGGAGAGATATCTATTAGATTTATTAGTTAATAGCTTATACTATTACGGAGTAGGTAGAGGCATAGGCGTAGGTGCCGTCCGTAGGATAATATTAATAAGCTATATAGAGCTCTTCTATGCGCGGCCGGCCCGCCCCTATACTTATAGGATCCGGCCCTCTATACGTAATTATATAGCTTAGGCCGCGGCCTAAGCCTATTACCTATAATAGTTAAAGACTCTTATAGCCGCGGCTATATACTTAAAATAACTAAAGATAGCCTTGCTACGGATAGCGAGGTAACTATTTATAGCGATAGTAGCGCTAGCTATAGACTATGCCTTAAACGTATAGTCGTAGGCGTACGGGGTAAAAGAAGCGGCGTAGATTAGTAGGGCCTAGCGAATCGGAGCCTAGGCTATTACGGGAGGCTTTTATATAGTAGTAACGGTAGTAGCCGAGGCCGAGGCCGGCGTATAATCGTTCTAAGAACGGTATACTTAAGCGGTAGCGAAATTCTAGATAAGGATATAGACGCTCCTAAAGATATATCCTATAATATCGTTAAGGCTTAAGCTAAATAGGAGGTATACTTTATTAATATAGAAGCTCGCCTTAGCGATAGGAAGACTAGATACTAAGCGCCTAGAAGTTATCTATAAGTTCGTACTAGCGCTATAAGACGAACGAATATAGGCAACGTATAAGGTAGACCGAGCGGAGGTACTAAAGTTAGATAACCTAGAGGATATTACTATCGCGACGTCTAGCTTATAAAGGAAAGGCAAGGTTAGGTTAGGAGGCGTCGTTCGGGATACTTCCCGTAATAACGTAGACGAGGTACTAGTAAGCTACTCTATTACCCTTAGCTCTAGTAATAAGTAGAATATCTATATAGTAGGACTCGAGGTAATTACTATAGCCCTAAAGTATATGCCTCTAGGTCTTTATAACCGAGAGCTTATAGTTATAATAAGTAACCGCGCTATCCTATAAGTTATTAGGCGACCGCGGTAGTAGTCTAGTTAGTATATAATATAGGCGATATATAGATCTATTAAGTATCTTACGAAAAGAGGCTATAGAGTTAGACTTCGTTAGGTGCTTATAAAGAATAAGGAGTTTACCCTTAGGCTACTAGCTAAAATATAAGCGAAAAGAGCGACGCGAGATAAATATATCGCTAAACTAGTAACGTTTTAGGTAAGAGTAATAACGTTACGACTACTACTTAACGAATATACTCGCGTTAGTTAGATCCTAGAAGGGGTTAGGAAGCACTTAAAGCGCATCGATAAGGCACTGCCGGGGAAGTATACCTATAAGTTATACGATAAGCTAACGAGAAAGGAATCTAAAGTATTAGTATAGTTTCGAACTAGTAAATCACGGTTAAATAGCTACCTTTATAAAATCGGGGTAGTAGAATCGGATAAGTATACTTATAGGTAGTCTATAAAAACAGTAGAGCATTTCCTCTTTCGATATAGAAGATAGACGGTATAACGAGAGATTATACTACGATATACTCGCGGAAAGGTAGGAGACCTATCTTTCTTCCTAGGAGGCAGGTTAGAGTTAGACGACGATAAGTAGTAGCCTAATATTAGGGCGGTGCGTGCAACGATATAGTTCGTATTAGCGATAAAACGCTTTATTATAGACCGTTAATAGGCTATATACTAATTAAGAGAAAATTATACTAATATAATAGCCTTTAACTTAGCAGACCGTACTTTAGTTACTAAAGGTAGGACGCTAAATACTTAGAGAAACTAACCTTTAAGTAGGCCTATTATATTATAGCGAACGAGGCTAGGAATAGATAAAAAGAAGAGTAGGGCTTAGGGTAAGATAGAATAATATACGGTAGGTCTATAGCTTAGCGTAGTAGCCCTATAGGGGAACCCTCCGGGCGTAATATAACTAAAAAAAAAAGAAGGGGAGGGTAGATAACTAAGGAGTTGCTTCTACTAAGTCTAGTATAATATATACTATCTAACACCCCCTTTTGCTTATCCCCCTTATACTTAGTAAAAATGCCACCGCCCTATATAAAATTAGCTAACTTTACTTATATCGGATCTACTTAATTAAGAAGTAATTTATAAGCGGCAACCTCTTAAGTAAATAAAAATAGCTAGAGATTTATTTTCGAATGTTATTTAGTTACCCCGGTCCTTATAGTCCGTGACACCCTAGCATCGCAAAATGGCAATTTTTACCCCTAATCCTCTCCTGCCTCCTTTCCTTTCCTTACTTACTTATCCTCTACTACCTCTTATAAATCGCTTTAAAACGGCGCCGTTCGATATACACGGAAGATTTAATAGTTAAGGCAATTTTAGATATTACGGATAACGGTCTTTCGCAGCACCAGGCCGCTCAGAAATAGGGAATACCGGTATAACTTAGACGAAAAATCATGGTCGTATTAGATCTTTTATAAGGTCTCCTATAAAACCAAAACATCTATAGATAACTAGTACCGCAAAGACTTATAAAATTAGACTAGTATTAGAGCTCCGGGGCAGTGGGGGCTGCACGATCGAACCTTATCCTTAAAAAGAGGCAGCACTTTCTCTAAAAATAGAAGCACATTTATGGTGAACATATAATATAGGGCGATATTGTCAACTTAACCTTAAGTAATTACTTACTGGGCCTGGTTTGACAAGCGATAATATCTACCGGCGGTAGCAGTCCTTAACCTCTTCCCATAGATGACAAGAGGCACAGCTAGAAGATTGACGCCCAAATTTATCAAGGCGGCGGTAATGGCCATTCCACCAAGGCCCATTGCCTTAATCCAGGGGTTGCTAGAGGCAGGGCCAACCACGCCAAGCACATTTCGGGAAAAGGCAACAACCACAAATCCTTGGGAGATAATCTTCTCATACGTCGGTTAGCGCGATTAAGGAGTAAGAGAAGCTGACATACGTTGGGATAGGCATCTATCATAAGGGTAAAGGACATGCTTGCCATGCCGCCAAAGCCGAATGATATTAAGGCACTTCCAATACTCGGGAAGATCCAATGCAAGCCCTAGAGATTTTTACATATTAGTATCTATTAACCTATTTTTTGCTGCTAACTTAGAGAGCTTACCTGATCGGCTGTGATACCAAAAGTCGCCAAACCGGCTGACATCCCAAGGGCTGATAGAGGAAGCGCATATAGGCGCATTTCCGGCTCGTATATCCCTCCGTTTCTTTTTGTCAACCATATAATAAACCTATCGACAAAAAGGCCGCCATATAAGGTGCTAAATATGGACCCAACGAACGACGATATATGTAGTAACCCAAGCTGCTGTGGGTCAAAATTATATGGCGGCTCGGAAAATATAATGCTTTTCCTTGACCCTTCGATAGAAACCCTAGCTTCTTATTAGTATTATCTATATTATTATAGTAAAGTTAGTAGAAAGGTATATAGCTAACCACATTAAGCCAGTTCCAAAAATTAGAGAGGTAAAGACGATATGAGGCAGCCACCAAGAGTATATAGGATAATAAAATGTCTTCCAGAGCGATTCATTTGTAGTAGTAGCAATTTGGAGTCTAAGGTTATGTGGGAATGGCGCTTGAGGTAAGGCATATTGTGAATCGATTTGTTGGAGACCAATAATGCTCTCTGTCTTAAAATCATTAGAGTCGCATTTCTTAGTTTCGCGAAGAATTTCTGTTCGGCGAAAAGTCCCAGGCTTGCTATCGGATGTAAGTTCGCGCACGAATTTAGTTTCCTCATATGAGAATATAAAAAAGATAAAGACGACTGTTGCGATCGAGGCTTGCGTGTATGCGGATGACCGCCATCCGGATTGCTTTACTTGTGTGCCAGCGGCTATCGGGATAAGGGAAAACGCAGTTGAGAGGGCAAAGTGATATAGCGCATTAGCAGAGCTCCTTCGGTGAAGGAAGAACATATCGCGAATCTAGTTTGCGATATTAGTAAGAGTTCTTACTATATTAATACCGTGCTATTAGTGGAGTAGTAAACTTACGCTCATCTGAACGGCTGTCTCGTTAACTGCGGCCGCAAAGCCCTTAAGGGCATTGGTTGCATAGAGTTCCTTCTTTGAAGTCATACTAGCAAACCACCAAGATGCCCCTATATAGATAGCAATCGAGACGAGATATACCGGGCGTCTGCCATACTTTATAGCTAAAGGGATAAATATAATGCACCCTAGAGCTTCTCCAGCATGTTCGATCGCCCTTGAATTCACAAGGTCCTCATTTGTTACGTGTAGTTCTTTCCGTAACTGAGAAATAAAAAGCGATTGTATAGATAGCCTAAATAAGTTAATATTGGTTTATTTTAGTGATAACTATATATACTCACCCAGCAAATATAACCGTCGTCATAGCAATTAGTAGGGAGAAGTTCCAATACTTCCGCCGCTTATGCCATATCTAGAAGAAAGTATAAGTAGAATAACTAATATATAGGGAGCTTTTTAACCGACCAGGGGATCATTCGGATCGTCAGAAGGTTCCGGGACTAAAACCAATTGCTTATCTTTAGTACCCTTGCGACCTAGAGGTAAATTGGATCGGATTAGCTATATACGCTGTAAATGCTTGATTGAGGCGCGAATTACTAGAGAGCAACTCTACGGTCCCTGGGGGGTGGACTGGACCGTCATCCAGAGATTTTCGGCGGCTATCCATCGCGGCGTGTTTATAGAGTCGTAAAAGCTCTAAAAGAGAAAGAGAAATATACGATGATATGACAATTGGAAGATATTGAAATACTGCAGAGAGGAAAAGGCTTTGATTAAGAGCGTGGTTATTACATATATATACCAGACCCCTCAGGGACAGAGATGCCGTGAATTGGAATATGTCAAATGACATTCCGCCGCAGTCGAGGTGTCGGAAAGACGCGGTCGTCAGATTTGTGTCATTTGTCGTGCTCTTGTCGGAGCGCGTTCCACTTTTGCCTGCGTAGCGCAACAGTCGTCACGACATCGAGGAGGTGTCCCGACCCACATGGGCACCGTTCTTGTGTATATAACTGGGACCTTCGTTCCCTTGACTTGGGTAGTGGTTAAGTCCAATAGACTCTCTATAGCCGTCATATCCATGGCATCTCTCATTTCCTCTTGACAAAACAGTGGCATGACTTTCTAGATGTCAGGTACATTGTTGTCTGATACACCGGCTGACGATTCTGTCACGTCGCTAGGCTATCTCGTGCCGAAGGGGTAAAGTAAAGGCTACTCCATAGGTGCCTAGTGCATTATAAACAGGCAAGTGTTTGACAATCATGTCAGCTTTCTAACTGCCTCTGTCGCACAGGGTATATCAGCCTCCATGTCGCATGGACCATTAAGCCAAGAGTGAGATGCACCTCCCAACAGCACTGCTGCTAGAATGGCTAAAATGGCCTGTCGCTGTTTGCAACACTCCAACTGTCTGATTCCCTTATTCGCACAGGTAGCCCATGACTTATATCATCATTGTCGTCAGCCACGCCACTGTTCCCAATAAAACCGTACAGCAAGGAGCTTCAACGGATTATAAATCTCTTTAGAATATAATCAGATGCTTCCATCAGTTTCTAGTCACATATTCATCCTGTCTATAAAGATCACACTATTCTCCCGCTCTAGATAGCAGAATCAAGAGTCCTCCAGTCCCTAATCTTTATGCCTACTTTACTCATCCTCTATAATATAGCCTACTATAAAAGGGAGGCAAATAAACGAAACATGGGGTGTTAGGGCGACACGTCATCATTGTTTCAGGGCCTAGCTAGGGAGCAAAACACCTTCTGTAGCGGCGCAGCGCCAATACCGCTTAATTAGGTGCGCACATTCCCCGCACTTAAGACTATAGCCTATAGAGTGACAGCCTTATTGCCGCGTTCTCTCTATTTCCGCCCCTTTAAGCAGCGAAGGTAGACATAGGGGGGTTCGGTTACATTGGGCCTCTCCGTGGCCATAATAGGGGCATACCTATAGAGCTTATAGCAAAAAACGCAATATGCTTTGAGGAACGAAAGGTTCTTCCTTCCGCGCCCTCCTACCTGCACCATCCGACCGCGCCACGACGCGCCACTTCTCCTTTCCTCTCCTTTCGTTCCTCAAGGCATTGGCAACCCCGCAGGGGCCGGTCTCCTGTGGGTTATGGTCTTAATCTCCTGTGGGTTATAGTCTTAAGCGTAGGTGCGGGGAATATGCCCACCTAATTATGCGGGGTCGGCGCTGCGCCGCTACTAGCCACATGAGTCCACTTTTATTTTTTCTTCCTCTTTTTTTTTCTTTTTTTTTCCCACCCGGAGGATTTTTCCTATAGAGCCTAGACGTAAAAGCTACTGACATTTCAATACATTAATGCGTAACACCTTAAGCCCCACGGGACTTTTTTATTTGCTCCCTAGTCAGGCCCTTGTTTTATATATTCCGGGGAGATCTTTAAATCGACTCAATCCCCGAGACGGCCCTACACCCTATGATTTTGTATTTCTGTTTTTCTGTGGCCATGAGTAGCCACCGAAGCGTCGCAAGTTTTGGTCCTCCTCGTCGAGTGGCGCGACGCATTAACGAAGGGCAGGGCGGTTGGCCGATTAGTCAAGGCATAGTCTTAATAGCGCTTGACATATCAAATAGTAGGATGTTTCGACAATAGTCTTGCTACTTTCCCTTTTGCCAATTGAATACAGTCTGTCGTCTATGCTTCCTAGGCCTTTGCTATGTTTCACGCCTTCAGGGGTAGTGGGTGTAGTTGCGCCCGGTAGCACCCCATATCGGGCCGGCGATCGCTGAATGGAGTCGCCTTTTAAGCGTCGTTTTTGCCGTTACTCCCGAGCACTGGCAGGAACCTTTGTAGACTAGCCCATACTCGGGGGGGGGCCTACAGGGTTCCCCTGCTAGTCAACCCCCCGAGTAATGCTTTTTCTCTGCACGCCAACAAATTTCTGCAAAGTCGAAATGTTCCATGCACAGTACAGCACCAGCGGCCATTCGTAAGACATTTGGTTCCTTTCGACGAGGACAGTTTCGTTACCCGAGTTGACGGACATCAATTCATCTCGGCAACGATGAGTAAGTCCCCCTACGTCTTGTCTCGGGGCTTGTTTCAGGTCTAAGTCCTTACTCTTTACAGCCGACTAAGGCAAGCTATACGGCGACGGTAGCGTTTCCTTGCTGGAGATAACCCGGACCGCCGAGACTAACTTATACGCCGTCTCGCTTATATCTTCAACACTCAACTCTCAGCTCTCAGCTCCCAACTCTCACTGACCCAATCCAACTCTATCATCACCACAATGGCAGACTTGGAGCCCCCCCCCACCCCGGCCTCCCCCTCGTTCCCCCGCCGCGCCCTTTCCGAAGTCGGCCTCGTCACCGTCTTTCACTCCCCCCGGGACATCAAGCTTCTCTGCCTCCAGCGCTTTATCCGCCTCTTCGCCTACGGCTCCTCCATCCTCACCCTCGTCCCCTTGCTCGAATTCCTCGGTCACTCGCGCTCGCAGTCGGGCCTCTTCATGACCCTCACCCTTATTGGCGACGTTCTCGTCAGCTTCCTCCTCACTCTGTTCGCCGACTCGGCCGGGCGGAAATTTGTCCTCGCGTGGGGGGCAGCGCTCATGGCTTTCAGCGGGCTGGTCTTTGCGTGGGCGTCCAATTACTGGGTCTTGCTCGCCGCGGCCGTCTTGGGCGTCATTTCGCCAAGCGGGAATGAGATTGGCCCGTTTAAGGCCGTCGAGGACAGCGTGGTGGCGAACCTAATAGCACAGAGGCAGAGGGGAGATGTGTATGCTTGGTATAGCATCGCGGGCAAGTCGGGGAAGGCGCTTGGAATCGTGAGTTGTGGTTGGGCGACTGGTGTGTTGAGGAGCAGTTTGCGGTGGACGCCGTTGGAGGCGTACCGGGCCATGTTTGTCGGGTATGCATTGCTTGGCGTCGTCAAGTTGATTCTCGCGTTAGCACTCTCTCGAGCCATCGAGGCAGAGGGGAAGATGCCTGCAAAATTAGGAGAGACAACACCTCTTCTCAACGGCGAGCCCGACTCTTCATCACAGACGAAGCAGAAGCCAAGCAAGAGAAATTGGCGGCTTCTCCCAAAAGTCAGTCCTGAGAGCAAGAGCATAACCGCCACGCTCTGCCTCATCTTTGCCTTCGACTCGTTGGCCTCTGGAATTACTCCCCTGTTCGTATATCTTTCTTCCTAATGCTATTGCATGCTACTCGAGTACCAAGGCTGATAAGCGACAGGTCATGGGTGACCGTTTACTTTCGCTCACGCTTCAATATGGAAGAGGGCAAACTCGGCTCCATCTTCTTCGCCACCAGCATCATCTCTGCCGTGTCTGTCCTTGTCGCCTCGTCTCTGGCCAAGCGCCTCGGCAACGTCAAGGTGAGTACCATCAGTTTATTCACTCTAGCGGCCAAGACCTGCCAACAGATATCCAGACCATGGTTTTCACCCACCTCCCCTCGGCTATATTCCTCTCACTCATCCCCCTGCCATCCTCCCTCCCCCTCTCCCTTGTCTTCCTCGTCCTCCGCTCCTGCACTCAATCTATGGTTGTCGCCCCTCGCTCCGCCTTCCTCGCAGCCATCCTGCTCCCCAACGAGCGTACGGCCGTTATGGGCACCGTCAATGTCGTCAAGACGGCGGCGCAGAGCATGGGGCCCCTCATCACCGGCGTGCTCGCCAACCATGGCCTCTTCTGGATGAGCTTCCTGTTGGCAGGATCGCTTAAGTCGTGCTATGACTTGGGATTTCTTGCTGTGTTTTGGAATAATGAGCAGCGGGATCGGGAAGAGGCAAAAAAGGATGAGGAGGCAAGTTGAATACAAGGCAAACGTCGACTAAATTTAAACACTTTCGAGGAGCCTTGAAGGCCTTAAAACTCGTACCCGCCCCCACTTTATTGGGATTCGCTTTGTTCACTGGCGGTGTCAAGATCGGAACGCTCATTCACTGTGCTGCCTAACAGGCAGCAAGCAGTTCGTAATGCTATATTAGTGATAGATTCGAACCTTCTAGGTAACGTCGTTATCTATGCTGCCTGGGTGGCAACATCGCCACTTAGCCTAAAATCATAAGTATAAGAAGCTAACTTTTCACCATTACTTAGATAGAGAATCAAGAGTCTTTCGTTGCCCGATTTATAGGAGATCTTCTTCCCGATCGTTGCTTAGTTACCTATACTGTCCGTGCCTCTTATTGTATAATAGTTATAAGCCCAGTCTGCTAAGCCGGGTTTCTACTATATACATTGCTTCTACTACGTTTGCCTTACTAATAATAAGCACGCTAAAATAGCCGCTAACGACCTCGAAGTCTCTTTCCGGGTCACCCTTAAAGGCCCTAGTAATTAGGATCTATAGATCAGCATTGTTCGTAAATTTACGAAGAATTAATAAATCTAGGATTTTACTAACCCTGCCGTTACGCGTAAGCCGGCTCTGACGCCGCTAGTCGAACCAACGCTAGGAGAAGTCTAGGAAAATGCTACTAGCATATACTAACTATAAGGGGATAGCCTTACTAAGTTTTAGATCCTTAAGGCGCGACATTAAAGCTAGCTCTAGACCTATAAAGATAAAACGAAGGCCCTTATAAAATTATAAGAATATATCGTAAAGACCGTTAGTAAATACTACGATATTATCGCTAAGGAAGATAATATAGTAAAGGAACTTATAATACTAAAAAACCGAGTTAAACTAACTAACTAGGCTCGGGAGAGTAAAGTTATAGATCGATACTACGTAACGCTTAAGGTAGTTAGCCGGTCTAAGGTCGAAGAATAGATCTCGAAGTAGTAAGTCGTCCTAAACGAAGCTAAGAATCTCGACCTACCCGACGTAAAAGACCTACGACTAACTCGCTATTTCCTTAAAGCTATTAACGCTATTAATTCGACCTTCTCTAAAGTCTAGATTAATTAGATAGAAGTAAATGCCCTATTTAATCCGGACAACGACTAGTAAAAGACTTTTCCTAACGGAATTAAGATTAGTAAGATCTTTAAGCGATTATATCGATTAACTACTAGTAACTTAGATACTAAAGGTATATTTTCTACCTTCTAAGGTAAAGGAGAGCCCGATATATCCGGTATAACCTAGGCATTAAAACCTAATAGAAACTAAGGAGGAAAGCTACCGTGCCTCTATAGTTATAGGCATTTCTACTTAGAATGTCTATATCTCTCTAACTCGGTACGACCTAAAGGATAGTCTCTAGATAGTAAAGTGTTACGACCACGGTCTAGCGAACCGCGGGGACCAATATATATCACGAGGTCACGTGACGTAAGGAGCAAGGAACATTAAACGGACCGACGGGCTAATTAAGTTTAGAGCGACGGGTTACTCTAGCGCTCTAACGCTCTATAGCTAGGATCGTAGGATCGCTCTAGCGCTCTAGCGCTCCTAGACGACGGGATTACCTAGCGCTCTCGGCGATCTAAGGAAGCTCTCGAGATATATAAGGAAGGAACGGAATACTCCTTTAGATAGATAGCTCGATAGCTTTTAATATAGATCTTTATTACGATTCTATCTTTAATTCTAATTACCTAGTTATAGTCTATAGTCTATAACCTCTAACTTATTACTAACGTAATATATATATTATTGCTTAGACCACGCCCTATTATATCTACTAATATAAACCCCTCGATAGGTTTATCCCTTAGGAATAACACCGGTCGTTATACGTTAAAAGCTCTTATTTAGTATAATACCGCGTTACTCTAAGTAATATCGTAACTATTAATATACCTATATAGTAAGCTAGATTAACTAACTCTAGAGCTACTATATCGCCTTAGGATATAATACGCGAGATTATTACCCTTCGATATAAGGTATAGTTACTTAGGAACGGAGGAGGCAATAGATAAGTTAAGGACCTTAGAGAAGTAGTTAAACTAAAATAGCTAGGACTATTCGATAGTACTTATAGTATACTTTAAGACTTTCTTACTTAACTTAAGGCCTACTACCGGTTTTACCTTATAAAACTCTTAGACCTAGTTAAAAAAGTACTCTATATAGGAAATTATTTATCTAGAACGGTACTTACTTAGTTTAGACCTATTATAAGGGATTTTCTCGATAACTAACTAGCGCGATAAGATAAGGAAATAGATAAAGTTTTTACTAGTTTTTAAGGATTCGAAGAAGCTATTATAAAGGTATTCGGAATAACTAACGAGGAATAAGAAGCCGAATAAAAACTTTAAGAACTCTAATAAAGGATCTTAGTATTAGATTATACTATAAAGTTCCGTTAAGTTACTTTAAAACTTAACTAAGACGACGAACCTCTTATATTACGATTCTACGATAGGCTTAAAGAAGAAGTTAAGGACGAGCTCTATAAGGAAAATCGACCTAATAACCTCTTAGACTATATTACTATAGTAATATAAATTAACGATAGATAATATACGCGACGCTAAGAAAAGAAATAAAGAAGAGGAAACTAAAACCCTTCTTATAAGAATAACTTTAGCTAATACGCTAACTATAAAAAGAAGCGCGAAACTCCTATTACCTATACTTATATAACTAACTTAAGTAAGATAGATCTAGATATAATATAGAAAAGTAAAGGAAAGTATTTTAATTATAAGAAACTTAGATATTACTTTAAGGAATATAGATAACCTTATAAGGAAAAGAAAACCTACTAGGCACTAGCCCTAAAAGGTAAGAAATACTTAAACGCTATTAATAGATAAGAACTAAAGTATAAACTCCTTAGTTAAACTATATACTATAACGACGAATATATAATATACTTAAGCGATAAGAACGGTACTAAATAGTTCTTAAAGCTACTAAAGAAGACCCTTATAATAATATAATAAAGGGATCTTAAAATATAGAAATAAGTTAAATTTATAAAACTAAAATACCCTTATCTTAAAAGAGTCTCCTAAGACTAGATTAGGAAGAACGGTAAACGATTCTAGGAAGATATATAAAATAAAAATTAATAATAATAACGGGTAGTCTATTAATAATATAGTAAAGAAGATATAAATATAGCCCTTATACTTATAAAACTTAGATAATAACCTAAAGAGGAATAATAAAGTATCGATAATATAAGCTTTAAAGAATAAGAAATACCTAGAGAAATAAAAGATAAGAACGAACTTATACTACTACCCTCGCTATTAAAGGAAAATACTATAACTAAAGAACACGCTTTATACTTTAAAGAATTTAAAGAAATACTTAAAATTAGAACCTAATAAATACCTTAAATTCTTATAGAAAACTAATAAGCTATATTAATTCGATATTAACTAGTACTATATAAAGGAGACTATACTATAGCTATCGCTATAGTTAATACCTTTATAGCTCTATAACGAGAATAGTAACTATAAGGAGAATTTAAAGATAATCTATAAATACTACTTACTTATAAGTACTATAAGTATATTTTATAGATATTATACGTCTACCTAGATTATATAATATACTTCTAGATAAAGGTATAATATAACGCCTTCTTAGTTAAGTTTAAAGGATAAGTACTTTCGAAACCCTACCTAAGTATAGAACTAAACTACTAGAAAATCGATTAACGCTACTTAAACGACTAAGTTATATTATTAGAACCTAATTATAGTACGCTACTTAAATACCGCGATAATTACGGTTTATTAATAAGATATCTTTTAGAGATATATAAAATCTATAAATACGCTAAAATAGAAGAATAATATAACGCTACTTACTTTAAGGTATCTAAACCCTTAATCTTTTAAAGACTTATATAATAAGTTAAATATAACGAAGAAGTATAACGACCGGTGTTATTCCTAAGGGATAAACCTATTAAGGGGTTTATATTAATAGATATAATAGGGCGTAGTCTAAGTAATAATATATATATTACGTTAGTAATAAGTCGGAGGTTATAGACTATAGACTATAACTAGGTAATTAAGTAATCGGAATTAGAGATAAGATCGTAATAGAGATCGTAATAATTATATTAAAAGCTATCGAGCTATCTATCTAAAGGAGTATTCCGTTCCTTCCTTATATATCTCGAGAGTTTCCCTAGATCGCCGAGAGCACTAGGTGATCCCGTCGCCTAGGAGCGCTAGGGCGCTAGGGCGATCCTACGATCCTAGCTATAGAGCGTTAGAGCGCTAGAGTAACCCGTCGCTCTAAACTTAATTAGCCCGACGGTCCGTTTAATATTCCTTGCTCCCTACGTTATATATCCTCGTAATATATACTAGTCCCGCGGTTCGCTAGACCGTAGTCGTAATAGGATGCCTCCCCTCCTTTTAGTCTTGCCCTTAAGACCTACTACCTTAGCCGCCGTATATAAATATACCCTTATCGCGTCGTGCGTAAGTATGCTATTCCTTATTCCTTTATCCTTTCGGGATATACTGCTAATAGTATATCTAGTTATATTTAAAAATCCCGTTCTCGCAATTCCAATAAATCGCGTTAACGATCGGAGCTAGCATCCTAGACCGAGATCTACGGTATTAAAATTATGCCTTGCTCCTATTATTTTCGGTTAGGCCTAACTTATAAGGTCGGCGAGCGTTCTAATATAAGAGCGCTACTAGGAGGTATAGGCTGACAAAGCACTCGGGTACGTAGTACTAATATATCGGCAGGGTATCGGCAGGGAATCGTGCCTACCCCGCTCGCATATTATAGACCACTCGCTACTCGAACCGAAGAGGAAAAATCCCTCTTCTCGTAAGCTTTAGTCTTACGACGAGGAGAATATAATATATATAGCGCAGTACCTCTAGCTATCTCTACTACCTAACTAATCGTACCGTAATACG